AATCATCTCAAGATTTAATCAGGAGATTTTGTTAAGCAGTCGGCACCTGCAGCTAGGATAATCACCAAGATTTCATTTGATCAAACAAGTGCAATGTGATCTAGGCACATGTCTATGCCGGAACTGCATTCTGTGTAGAAAACTCTTGCTTGCTGTTGCTTCCTTGACACACTTAACGCTAAAACAATACGGAGAGAAAAGATCTATCTGTCTATATGTCACCATCAACAAAAGCCGATGCCACACATCTTCCTTTCCCATTAGATGATCTCGCATTCCGGACTGCACATGGCCACATTTGCACCCCATTCTTTTGCATATTATACATTGGGATTGCACGGCCATCAAAGAAAGGATTTGAACCATCAGATATTCCATAAGGTTCATTTGCAGTGACTACACTTATATTCATGTATTCCATCTTGGCAAATTCATTTTCTTCATGATTGCTTCGTGACTTGCACATGATAGATATGGTGACACCAGCCATAAAGGAGTCCCACAAGAAGTAATTCTGCAGAAAGACGTCACTTCATTATGTACCAAGATATCCAAAAAAGATAAACCTTACATGCAAGATTGGAGGTAACCATTAATATCCCGAAATTCTTATGTACTCGCGAGAGAGAATAAGATGCAAATAGCTTAAAACATCACCTTATAAAACTCATCATTGAACCAGGTATCACGAGCCATCTTCAAAGATTGGAAGCAGTACTGTGCGTCATATGTATTCTGATTCTTTTCTAATGCTCTAAAGAAGTTCTCGCTTACTGGGATGGTATTTGTTGCATCCAGTGGAATTAGCGTGAGTGGAATTCCAGAATGCATTACCTGAAATAACAGAAAGTAAGAAGTAAGAAATCACAATAAGTTCTTATCTTAAAAAGCTAGGAAAATTGTGTGGGAAAAAATTTAGCTCTCTAGTTTGTTGGACTAAATATTAGGGAAATTTTTCACATGCAGTACCATTAATTGTTTTGTACAACAAAGGATATGATTTCTTGTATTGGAACACTTGATGTATTTGTAAGTAGAAATGGATATTCAAACTAAGAGTAGAGCTACGTATATATAACTAAATAATAGTACAAAGTGACTTAAATATCTTTGTGGTCTAGGCAAAATATGAAAGTCATAGTAAGGATAAAAAAAGGAAAAAGAAACCCTAATAAACTAGACTATACTGCAACACTCTCCCTCAAGTTAGGTGCAAAAATATCAACTAAGTCAAGCTTGACAACAGAGTCCCAGAGAATGAATAGAGTGACAGGTTTGGTGACAGCATTTGCAACCTGATTACTGGTCCTCACAAAACAATGAAATGACAGTACCACAACTAACCTTTTCTCGAAGAAAGTGAACATCGATCTCTATATGCTTTGTCCTCTAGTGTAGTACAGAGTCAGAAACGATCTGAATAGCAGATCGATTATCCTAATATAATGTAGATGAAGAATTCATTGGAAATCCCAACTCACCAAGAATCGATTGTAGCCAGATAATCTCACATGTGTCAAGTGCTAGTGCTCAATACTCTGCCTCTGCTGACCAGCGGGAGACAATTGACTGTTTCTTACTCTTCTAAGAGATAAGATGAGCCCTTCGAATAACACAAAAGTCCATAGTAGATCAACCGTCACACGCTTCCCCATAATCTAAATCCGAATAATAGGCTATAGAACAAATTTGAAATCCTGATGTATAAAACAACTCAAGTTCAGGACAATATTTGAGGTACCAAAAAATATGATAAACTGTATCAAGATGAGACTGACACGACCTGTGCATGAACTGACTAACTCGGCTAACAACGAATGAAATGTCTGGTATAGTGTTGGCTAGCTAGATAAGTCTACCTACCAACCTCTGATAGACAATCGGATCACTCAACTTCTCACCTTCAGTAGTAAGCTTTAGGTTTGGACTTATGGTTGGTGATGCCAGTTTGCAACTTAATATCCCAGTGTCAGATAGAAGATCCAAAACATCCCTCTGCTGCTACGGGCAACCTCAATCCCAAGAGGGTATCGTAGAAATCCAAGGTCCTTCACATCGAAGGTCTTCCCAATGTCTACCTTGACCTGTGCAATCCCATAAATATGACCCCCAGTAATAATATTATCATCCACATATACTAAAAGGATGACACATTGCTCAAAATTATTTCATCGAATAAAACATGTATGATCAGAATGATATCTAGTGAACCCTAAACGTATAACTACACCACTAAATGAAGAGAACCAGGCTCATGGTGACTGTTTCAGTCTATAAAGAGACTTATGCAATCGACACACATTCCCAGCATACTCTCACTCACTATGAAAGCTTGGTGGGGCATCCATATAAATAATCTCGTCCAGATCATCATGAAAAAATTCATTCTTCACATCTAATTGATGAAAAAACCAAAAGTACTCCGCAGTCAGAGAAATAATCAATCGAACAGTAGTCAATTTTGTCACGGGGGTAAATGTAGTACCAAAATCACGACCTAGTACCTGAATAAAGCCTTTTGTCACAAGTCTAGCCTTGTGACGATCAATAGTACCATCTGCAAGAAACTTCAGGGTGTAAACCCAACCATCAGGCTTCACCCTTGAAGATAAATAACAAAATCTCACATATGATTACGCGGAAGAGCGTCCATCTCCGTTTACATGGAAAGAATCCACTAGGGCTCCTACATAGCCTCTAAAATAGAGTGAGGAATCGACGTATTTGATAAGGCCATACTATAAGCTCGAAATGTAGGAGACAAATCACCATAAGGAACATAAGCAGAGATCGGGTATAAAGTCTTGGAGGTCTAACCATTACGAACAACTGGACGACGATCACGCCATGGATAACGACGCCCTAAATCATCATCCTCCGCTGACAATGTCTTATCAGGGAAAGTAAATGGCTCATACCTGTAATCTCATCAGTACTAACAGCAGGTGCATCAATATGCTCAACGAATTGAGAAGTATTACCTGCATCGCCTGAGGTAGAGGGGACATCAGCAGAGGGATGAGAGCGAGGGTGACGAACATAAACTTACAGAAGAAGAGAGACTAGTGACTATGTACTGACAGGGATGAGTGGCTCTGGAGGAGAAGAGACTGATGACTCTATAATGATAGTGACCAATGGTTCTAACTCTTGTGGGAATGAAAAATCAAAGGGAGTATTATCAACTGGAGGACTAGACACAGTAATGGAAGAAAAATAATAATCTGCTAGAAAAAAGTAATATCTAGACTGTGATACATACACGCCTTATAGGATCATAACATCGATATCCCTTAGACTGATGATAATAGCCCACAAAGACATAATGAATCGCTTTATCATCAAGTTTATGGCGAGTAGGAGACCGATCCTGAACAAAATATGTGCAGCCAAAAACACAAGAGGGGACTTAAAAAAGTGTCCGCTTAGGGAATAAGACCTGTAAGGGCATCCTATGCTGAAAAACACGATTCGGTGTATAATTGCACAGAAAGGTAGAAGTCAAAATAGCAAAATGTCCATAAAATTTTGGTACCCCCATACCTCTAAGCATATAACTTACCATCTCTATTAGACTCCTATTTTTTCTTTCTGCAACTCTATTTTGATTTGGAGTATAGGACAAGTGAGTTGTTGAATGATATCTTGAGAGGAAAGGTGAGACACTAAGACATCAGACATATATTTTTTGGCATTATTCGAATGAAGAGCACAAACAATGACATCAAATTGTGTCTTCATCATCTAGAGAAACTGAGTGATTACAGAGAGTACATCAAAATTCCTATGTGAAAGGTACATCCAAGTATAACGGGTATGGTCATCTATAAATATCATATAGTATCAAACACCTAATAGAGCAATAACAGGAGAGGATCCCCAAATATCAGACTATATTAGGTCAAATAGCTTGGGTGACTGGTGCATGCGAGGAATATAACTAGTCTAAACATGTTTCGATAGGGAACATATAACATAGTCAAGTTTACCATTAACACAAGCATTGTTCAAAATAGGAAATAACATACATAAATATTTAAAATTTGTATGTCCAAAACTGTCATGCTACAACTGAACACTTTGTGGTAAAAAATCATAACAACAAATACTAAGTAAAATACTAGCATGCAAGCTAGCAACAAATGAAGACAAAGCAGGTGATGGAGGTGGAAAAACTGGATGTGGATTGCTTAGATAATACAGTTCATCTTTCTCATGTCCCTTGATAATAATCCTCCTCGCACTCAGGTCTTACAAATAACACGAATCAAATAAAAACACAACTGCACAATGAAAATCTCTAGCTAACTGATGTACGAATAATAGATTCGGCTAGCTTTTCTGCATGCAAAATAGAATGTAATGTAAAGCTATCTAGGAGGCAGACTGTACCCCTACTAATAATAGGGGCATGTGTCCAATCTATTACATGAACCTGTGTGTGTAACTAATCGTCAAAAGTGGTGAAGTGATGGGCCTCACCTTTCATATGACCATTCGCACCCGAGTCCAACATCCAAATGGGAGACGGACTGACACAAGCATGAAAGGCACGAGGTATACCTGTAATAGTGGAAGTAGCAGTAGTAGTAATCGGACCCCTAAGAAGTCAGGGCAGACATAAGTATATCCAATTGGAAAATGATAGCAATCAAATCACTCTGCCAAGGAGGAGCAGCAGCAGGAACAGTAGTAGGAGCAGTGGTAGTAGGTGGTGGTACCTCAACAATAGCAACAGTACGGCCACGAGGAGACAACTTAAGCTCTGGATGAAGCGTTCAACAAGTAGCCCTAGGATGTCCTAATCGACCATAATAATCACACTAACAAGAATCCCCCTGTCTGCGCTGTTCTAGGGCGCCCGAGTGCTGTCCACCTCTGGCTGAGGATCCTGAACAAGACTTTGCAGTAGTTGCAAGGGCCATCTGGTTGGCCGGAGGTCAAGGCCGTAATTGAAAGTCATGCAATACAGACGCAACACTCATGCTGCTTAATTATCGGATACACCTCATAAAGAGATGGAAGCCTCATCATCGACAAGATATGTGAACGAGGTCCCTCAAACGTATTATGAAGCCTCATAAGAAATTTATGAATTATATCATCCTGCTCTAGAGTATGCAAAAATGTCACTCCCTCAAGCTCTATCCTCGAAATGACAGCAAAAAGACGTAGAGTCTCATACTCAAGCCAGAGCTGGGTCAAATAGCCATAATAATCCTAAACCATCATATCCCCCTGTCGAGCATATGAGAGCTCTTGAGAGAGCTCATAAACATGAACTTCCCATCTTGACTGAGAATACATCTCTGATAATGTATTTCATAGTTTCAGAATAGAGTTATGAAACTGGTAAATCCTGCAAACAGAGGGCTCCATCAAGCCAAATAACCATCCAAGAATAGTACAATTTTTAGATAACCACGTAGAATATTTAGGGTAGTCATCAGCCAGCTTTGGGGGAGATCCTGTCAGCCAACCAAGCTTCCCTACATGGCCTAAGAAAAGCTGAAATGAACATGACCACTCAGCAAAGTTACAACCATTCAACAGCTGTGCCGTAGCCTTTTGAGAGATCATACTCAACATTACCGATAATGCAACTGTGTGAGTAGATATAGTATATTGGTCAAACATAAAAGTGGGAGAACTAGGAGATACATTCCAGGTGGAACTACTAACAACAGTGGTCTCAAGTCCTTCAGTAGTAGCCATAACAATAACAATATGTGGGCACCCGTGACAGAAAAGACTCTAGGATAAATAGAGGAATAAAATAAGGGAGAATAATATACCTCTAGTCGAACAGTAGCGACAGATAAATAAGGTTCAAAAAGCTCCCAAATAATCAGGTCACGGTGCCCAGAAATTCAATAATAAAGATAAATAAGTAATCTACTGCATCAAGAGCAAATCAACGAAAAAGAGGATTCAACCCCTCTTAAGAGGTCCTAGATGTTGCAACCCTAGGA